GTTCACCTTCCAACAGGACAACGACCCTAAGCACACAGCCAAGACAACGCAGGAGTGGCTTCGGGACAAGTCTCTGAATGTCCTTGAGTGGCCCAGCCAGAGCCCGGACTTGAACCCGATCGAACATCTCTGGAGAGTCCTGAAAATAGCTGTGCAGCAACGCTCCCCACCAAACCTGACAGAGTTTGAGAGGATCTGCAGAAAATAATGGGAGAAACTCCCCAAATACAGGTGTGCCACACTTGTAGCGTCATTCCCAAGAAGACTTGATGCTGTAATAGTTGCCAAAGGTGCTTCAACAAAGTACTGAGTAAAGGGTCTGAATTATTTATGTAAATGTCATATTTCCGTTAAAGAAAAAAAGAAATACCAAAGATTTCTAAAAAACTGTTTTTGCTTTGTCATTATGGGGTATTGTGTGTAGATTGATGAGGGGAAAACCAATTTAATCAATTTTAGAATAATGCTATAACGTAACAAAATGTGGAAAAAGTCAAGAGGTCTGAATACTTTCCGAAGGCACTGTATATTCCTATATTTTTTTCCCTTAACCCTACAACCCCTCCCCTAATTGGAGTAAACTAATAGACAACAACACTTAGGCTTCTACTTCCAGCTTATACATAATTGTCACGCCCTGGCTCTGGGGACACTGTTATGTTGAGCCAGGGTGTGTAGATCTATGGGTTTTGTTTCTATGGGTGTTTATTTCTATGTTGGCCAAAGTGACTCCCAATCAGAGGCAACGAGTGTCAGCTGTCGTGGGTTGTCTCTGATTGGGAGCCATATTTAAACTGTCTGTTTTTCATTCGGGTTGGTGGGATTTTGTTCGTGTTGGTTTGTGTTGAAACCATAGACGTCACGTTTTTCGTTTGTTGTTTTGATCGTGTGATCATTAAATAAATATAAATATGTTCACCTTCAACGCTGCGCATTGGTCCTCCTCCTTAGACGATCGTGACAATAATACTGTACACATATTTTACAGACACAGTATATTTTACATGAGTTATCTTTTGTTTGTTTTTAGTCCCATCCTTCAGCTCCCCTCAACCCCTCCCATCTATCTCTGAACACCATCCAGTTTTGATTTATATTTGTCATACATTTTTCAACTGTGCTGTGATGTTTCACAATAGTTCTGAGCCTTTCTATTCTCATAGTTTCTACAGATTGTAAATTAAAGATAAACATTTTTGCTAAGAGTAGTATAATATTATTGATCAATTGACTATGACTTTTCAGATCACACAGCAGTGCTAGAGGACGGTTTATAACTACACACTGTATACCGTTTTGATACTTCTGAAAAGGATACATGCAGTGCCTTCAGAAAGTATTCATACCCCTTGATTTATTTCACATTTTGTTGTCTCCCGGGTGGCGCAGTGGTCTAAGGCACTGTATTGCATTGCTAGCTGTGCCACTAGAGATCCTGGTTTGAATCCAGGCTCTGTCGTAGCTGGCCGTGACCGGGAGACCCATGGGGCGGCACACAATTGGCCCAGCGTCGTCCAGGATAGTGGAGGGAATGGCCGGCAGGGATGTAGCTCAGTTGGTTGAGCATGGCGTTTGCAACGCCAGGGTTGTGGGTTCGATTCCCACGGGGGGGCCAGTAAATTGCTTTTATATATATATATAAAAGGATAATGTATGCACTGTAAATGTAATGTGTTACAGCCTGAATTCCAAATTGATTAAATTGACTTTTTTTCCTTACCCATCTACACACCATACCCCATAATGACAAAGTGAAAACATGTTTTTAGAAATGTTGGCAAATTTATTGAAAATGAAATACAGAAATATCTAATTTACATAAATATTCACAAATCACTTTTGGCAGCGATTAAAGCTGTGAGTCTTTCTGGGTAAGCCTCTAAGAGGTTTGCACACCTGGATTGTACAACTCTGTCAAGTTGGTTGTTGATCATCACTAGAAAGTCATTTTCAGTCTTGCCGCAGATTTTCAAGCAGATTTAAGTCAAAACTGTAACCAGGCCAAGAACATTCAATGTCCTCTTGGTAAGCAACTCCAGTGTATATGGCCTTGTGTTTTAGGTTATTGTCCTGCTGAAAGGTGAATGTATCTCCCAGTGTCTGGTGGAAAGCAGACTCAACCAAGTTTTCTATAGGATTTTGCCTATGCTTAGCTCCCTTCTGTTTCTTTTATCCTGAAAAACTCCCCAGTACTTAACGATTACGATTACAAGCACAGCCATATCATGATGCAGCCACCACGATGCTTGAAAATATGGAGAGTGCTACTCAGCAATTTGTTGTATTGGATTTGCCCCAAACATAACATTTTTTTATTCAGGATTATTTTAGTGCCTTGTTGCAAACAGGATTCGTATTTTTCTGTACAGGCTTCCTTCCTTCTTTTCACTCTCATTTCGGTTATTATTGTGGAGTAACTACAATGTTGTTGATCCGTCCTCAGTGTTGTCCTCTCACAGCCATTGTAACTGTTTTAAAGTCACCATTGGCCTCATGGTGAAATCCCTAAGCGGTTTCCTTTCTCTCTGGCAACTGAGTTAGGAAGGACGCCTGTATCTTTGTAGTGACTTGATACACCATCCAAAGTGTAATTAATAACTTCACCATGCTCTAAGGGATATTCAATTAATATTTTTATTTTTTTACCCATCTACATTTTTATAGGTGCCCTTTTTTGCAAGGCATTGGAAAAACTCCCTGGTCTTTGTAGTTGAATCTTTGTTTGAAATTCCCTGCTCGACTGAGGGACCTTATAGATAATTGTATGTGTGGGGTACAGAGATGAGATAGTCATTCAAAAATCATGTGAAACACTATTATTGCACACAGAGTGAGTCCATGCAACTTATTATGTGACTTGTTAAGCACAATTTTACTCCTGAACTTATTTAGGCTTGCCATAACAAATGGGTTCAATACTTACTGACGCAAGTAATTTCAGCTTTTCATTTTTTATTAATTTGTCAAAATAAAAATAAAACATAATTCCTCTTTGACATTTTGGAGTATTGTATGTAGGCCAGTGACAAAAAATATATACATTTAATCCATCTTAAATTAAGGCTGCACCACAACAAAATTTGGGAAAAGTCAAGGGGTGTGAATACTTTCTGAAAGCACTGTACTGTATCCAGTGGCGAATTTCACATGTAAATCTTGGAGGGGCAAACTCAACATATTTATTTTTGCCATAACAAAGGGGTTGAATACTTATTGACTCAAGACTTTTCATCTTTTCATTTTAGATGAATTTCTAAAAACATAATTCCACTTTCACATTCTGGGGTATTGCGTGTAGGCCAGTGACACAAAATCTCAGTTTAATCAATTTTAAATTCAGGCTGTAACACAATAAAATGTTGAAAAAGTCACTGAGTGTGAATACTTTTTGAAGACACTGTAACTACAGGTAAATATATTTTCTGCATATAAATGTATAGCTATAAACATATATGAGCTTATATTGCTGACAAGTAGCTGCAAAAAAACATTTGCCCAAGCTACAGACGGCTATATTGGTCCGCTAATGCAGGACTAGTAAAGGCTCACCTTTGTGAAAAAATGTGTCAAAAATAAATGAAATGTTTTATTAATATGTATTTTTTATTCTGATTTTACAGGGGGTGCTGCAGCACCCTCAGCACCCCTACTTACCTCAGCTATGCACACACACACACACATACATACACACACACACACACACACACACACACACACACACATACACACACACACACACACACACACACACACACACACACACACACACACACACACACACACACATACATACATACATACACACACACACACACACACACTACAAATGCTCACACACACAAAACACACACACATATGCATATTGATGCCACACACAGACTCACACATAGACACACTTTCACACGCTTTCACATTCTTCGCATACACTGCTGCTACTCTGTTTATTGTCTATCCTGATTGCCTAATCACTTTTACCCCTACCTACATGTACATATTACCTCAATTGCCTCAACTAGCTCGTACCCCTGCACATTGACTCAGTACCGGTACTCCTTGTATATAGCCTTGTTATTGTTATTTTATTGTGTTACTATTTCCTTTTTTTATTTAGCTAATTTCTATTTTTAACTATGCATTGTTGGGAAAGGGCTCGTAAGCATTTCACTGTAAAGTCTACACCTCTTGTATTCGGCGCATGTGACAATTAAAATTTGATTTGATATGTTACATATTTCTAATGTTGTGTACCTATTCAGGCTACATCATCACAAAAAGAATGAAGTTCAAATCGATAATGCATTTCTCTGTAGAACAGATCAGGGACCCATAATTTAATTTAATTCCCATAATTATCTGGTGTTAATGCACTTCACTTACTGTAGTTTAGTAACCAGATACTTTTTTTCTAAGTTACCTTGGGTGTCTTGAAAGGCGCAAATAAAATGTATTATTATTATTGTTGTTATTATTAGTAGTAGTAGTAGTATAAAAAACTGAGGGAGATTTGACTTTCATTCTGTCACCAAACTTTGCATCTGCACAGTTCTTCAAGTATATGTTTTTGTAAAACTTTCAGTGGACATTGAAGTCCTTGTGCATCAAGTTGTTTGGTTTTTGTTTGGCATACAAGTAAAACAACTCAACATTTGGTTGGTTTGTTTTGTTATTGACAGTTCACAAGCCTGATCATCATCTGCTGAAGATGGATTCAATGGATCAATATGGGAGATAAGAAAGCATTTGCCAGTCAGAATAGATTTTTGTAGGTTAACCCACATTTTATGCATTCTTCAAAATGAGAAACAATTTAATTATACAATGTCTAAAATGATTGGCTGTTCATTAACAACAACTTGTATTGGTCAAATACAGTTTATTCCCCTAGCACCAACCACAGTCTGTTCTAGGATTACTCACTCCATTGGTCAAAGAGGAGGCTGAAGAATGGGATATTCAGCAGAGCCAAGGGTCAGCTGTGTCATTAGGAGTTGAAATGTCCCATGTTTGTCAAAAGGAGAACCCTGATGAACAAGATCCCTCCTTTGACCCAGTCTCAGACACCCATAGAAACACAGAGCAAGAGTATGGACATAAAGGCATGACATATCTCAAACACAGGAGGCTGCTGAGGGGAGGACGGCTCATAATAATGGTCGTCCTCCCCAATTAAGGTGCCACCAACCTTCTGTGATCTCAAAGTAAAGGTAAGCAGCCTAACTCGTCAACACTGTGCAAGCCCAGTTACAAGGCCCAGAGTTATTGTTAAAATGATACTAAATGAGCAAGAGGATGGACATAAAGGCATGACATATCTCAAAGTAAAGGTAAGTAGCCTAACTCCTCAACACTGCACAGTCCAAGCCCCAGAGTTATGTTGGAATGATACTGAATTAATAATGGGATGAATTGGTGCCTGAATTGGTGCCTCTAGGGCAATTCAAAAGGCTGATTGAAGACCTTTTTACTGAAGAATGTCTGTTTTTAATGATTGTGTTTTGTTTTGCATGTATTGATGTGAATATTGATGTGCATATTGATGTATATAGTGGATATAGATGTGTATTGATGTATGTACAGGGCTCATCTGTAAAAGAGACCTTGGTCTCAGCATGACTCCTTGTAAAAATAAATGTTAAATAAAAGTAAATGTTCTCTGTGTCAGGTGCTACCTTCACCAGTCCCAGTCAAAGAGAAGGAAACATGCTCCCTTCTGCCAGTAAATGAAGAGGAAGTTGCCTTAATTACAGTGAAGGAAGAAGAGAATGAAGACTGGTTGAAGTCAGAAGATGAGGATGTTGTGAAAGTGTCAGTGCCTTGGGAGCCATTGGAGACATCGCCATCATCATCATCATGCTCAGATACAGATGATACAGAAGACAGTGAGATGGAAAGTGATAATGTGCGGGTGAGTTTAAGCATTTAATAATAGACTGAGTGAAATAAAACACTTTGAGATTTTTTGTAGATTTAGGTTGATGCGAATTATCTCTTTAGTTTTGCCTTTGTCAATGGGCCTCATAACAATAGTTTATGGATGCATTGGAAAATGTCATGTTTTTTCTCTGATAGCACATGGACATAAAATCCCTCAGTGGAAAAAGGCCAAGAGCTGCTTAGGCCATTCTACCACTGGTCCCCCAGTCAGAGATGGAGGACCTAAATGACTCAGAAGATTATGAGCTACAGTACATTCCAAAACCAGGATATCAGGAAGACGAGTCCCCTTCTGAACTGACAGACAGAAATGCTTCCCCATACCCTGAAACTGCAGTCTCCCAAGAGAAAGAAGAGAAAAGGCAGAAACACAATTCTAGTGTTTCATACATACACACACAACCACAATCTTGACACATTTGTAAGCCCTTGTAAATCTAGCTCCTTGAAATCACAGCCAAGACAGGCGCTTTGGAAGAAGACAGACATTGATCCCTTCCAGGTTCCAGATCCAGTGTTTGTGGCACTAGTGTGTTCAATCCCCCTATGAATATTTCAACATGTTTTTCACTGATCAGGTGATTGCACACATTGTTGAGGAGACAAACATTTACTCGGTTCAACAGGACTGGATCTGCAATCAACACAAACCCTGGAGCGATTTTATGATTTCTTGTAGGCTACAGTATATGCTTCTCTACATGGGTGTTTTTGACTTTCCAACCTTTGTGGACTACTGGCATTCTGACTCTCGCTTCCCACCCTAGCAGATTCCATGTCTGTGAGAAGGTTCCAGTCACTCCGCAGGTTTCTTCACTTCATGCAAAGTAATTACAGTCCTGACCGTTTCTAAAAGATCCAACCACTTTTTGACATGCTGCGTCTCCTCATACAACCAACCAACAGGCAGAGCATAGCTGGTCATGGTAGCTTACAAAGGCACCAAAGCAGGGTACCTTCGTCAGTACAAATCGAAACAACCAGAAAAATATGTTTTTAAGTTGTTCTGTCGGGGCAGTTCTTCAGCTATTATCCATGACCTGCTACTGTACCAAGGGAACACAACATTTCTCAACATTGGTCTGGTTGAAGACAATCAGAATCCTCTGCTTGGTACCAAGGTTGTCACCACCCTCTATTGTTTTTTGTGGCAACTACCTCACCAGTTTTGACCTGGTCAAGTTCCTGCAGACCAGACTGGGTGTGAGGTGTATTGGCGCTGTGAGAAAAAAATGCACAGGTGGAACAACTGCAATTGATGACAAGGAGCTTGCAAAGCTAGGGCGTGGAGCATACGACTACTGTTCTCGAGAGGGGGTGATTGCTGTCAGGTGTGGTACTAGGTGGGAGGTCCACCAGTTTGAGTGTGTCAGGAACTGCAATGCTGCTGGGGTTTTCACGCTCAACAGTTTCCCATGTGTATCAAGAATGGTCCACCACCCAAAGGACATCCAGCCCAGAATTGGTCTGACTGTCTAAACGCAGCCTTATTTAAAGACCTGTGTCTGTCCCTATTTGGCGACACACTTTTCCCACGTGAGAGGGTATATCCATGGTCAGTGGACGGTTTCATTGCACGCAGTGTGACAAGAGTTTCTTCAGAGGGGCTTACCTGAAAATCTCCTCATCCACCATTGAACCAAAACACTTGTCTTCTCTAACTGTGGTAATCAGAGCAGAAATTAAAAAATCACCAATGAGTCTGTGTAAGGGCATTAGATCAAAGTTGTAATGCACCTCCATATGTAGAAGTACAGATATGATCTAGTGTGTAGGTGTCAGAGGTTGGCAATAAAGAACATAATATGAATTATACTGAACAAAAATATAAACGCAATATGCAACATTTTCAAAGATTTTACTAAGTTACAGTTTATATAAGGAAATCAGTCAATTTAAATAAATAAATTAGGCTCTAATCTATGGATTTCACAACTGGGAAAACAGATACCTTTTAAAAAAAAGGTAGGGGCATGGATCAGAAAACCAGTCAGTATCTGGTGTGACCACCATTTGCCTCATGCAGCGCGACACATCTCCTTCGCATAGAGTTGATCAGGCTGTTGATTGTGGCATGTGGAATGTTGTCCCACTCCTCTTCAATGGCTGTGTAATGATCATGCTGTTTAATCAGCTTCTTGATATGCCACACCTGTCAGGTGGATGGATTATCTTGGCAAAGGATAAATGCTCATTAACAGGGATGTAAACAAATGTGTGCACAACATTTGAGAGAAATAAGCTTTCGTACATATGGAACATTTCTGGGATATTTTATTTCAGCTCAAGAAACACTTTATATGTTGTGTTTATATTTCTGTTCAGTGTATATATCATGTAATAAAAGACCACCTCATTATAAGTCTGTTCTTCTTCGTACATTGGTCTCTAGTTAAATCATTCACGGGCCTTTTCGTTCTGTGACAAATGTAGGGCAGTAGGATTCACTTTCATTTATGCCCAGCACTTCGCAGTAAAATAGGAAAGTATTTTCAAACTCGGTGGTATAATGGTCTTTTCGAGTTTCCGTATGTGAAATAATACACTTTTCCCCAGAGAGGAAGAGGCGAAGCGAGAGGTTTCACTCTCGCCAACGTTTGTCCAAAAATAAGCCCAATGCGTTTCTATGGGTTTATTTTGGACCTAAGCTTGTCTACTTCCTTCCCGCCGTTGGGACAACCAACTCCCATTATTAGGGCGGAGAGATGAGCATCTCGTCATTATATACAGATATCTTTTTACCCTTGTTTTCCAGGTCATGTCTAGATGGGATACAGCTTTTGTCAAATTGACGGACATTTTTGCATTTTAGCTAACCCCAACTATTTTCCAAACCTTAATCTAATGATCCTAATCTGCTACTTTAATCTTTATAACCTGCTGCGTAAATTCCCCTAAACTCTGCTACGAAAAGTCAATTTTGACAAAACCTGTATCCCTTCTAGGCATAACCGCTTTTCCCCGACCCTCACCGATAATTCTGAAAAGCATCCATGTAGCTAACGTTAACTAGCTACAGACAGGTAAATATATTTTCTGCATATATATTTTTCTAAACATATGAGCTTTATCATATTGCCATTTGATAAGCTAACTATAAAAGCCAAATGTTTGCCAGCTAGAACTAATTATCTAGAATAGCTAACGTTAGCTACGAAAGCTAGTTAGTGCAATTCCACGTACACTAACATTTTCACGATTGAACTAATATCATCAAAATCAATCAATCAAAGTACGTGTTTGGACTCATTCAGTAGTTTTTAACTGAATGTAGAATCCTGTTGAAAAAAATTGTAAAATACAATTTATATTGCTAAAACATACATTGAAAATTATACTGTTGCTGCTTCCTGTTGTCATGGCTTTTTGATATGGCCGAGTATCAAAACTGTTTTTAAATTTGTGATATTCTGAAGACCAATACATAAAAGTTATTCGCGCACACGTTTTTCAGATTACTTGTATTTTGGTAAATTTTATAAACTGCACACGCACCAATATTTATCAAAATGGTCACTCAAAACTGGAATTGATTAGTTTGTTCTACTGTATAATCAATAGTGCGCCCAAATTAATCACATCGATATTGAAATTAGTGGAACAGGGACAATAACAGCAGCGACAAGTACCGTTTGCGCTCTTCTAACAGACAACCCTCAATGAACTTGGGTATACTATATACACTACATGTGGACCCCTTCAAACGAGTGGATTCGGCTATTTCAGCCACACCCGCTGCTGACAGTTGTATAAAATCTAGCACACCGCCATGCAATCTCCATAGACAAACATTGACAGTAGAATGCCCGTACTGAAGAGCTCCGTGACTTTCAACGTGGCGCCGTCATAGGATACCACCTTTTTAACAAGTCAGGTCGTCAAATTTCTGCCTGCTAGAGCTACCCCGGGCCACTGTAAGTGCTGTTATTGTGAAGTTTGGTGGAGATGGAATAATGGCCTGGGGGCTGTTTTTCATGGTTCGGGCTAAGCCCCTTAGTTCCAGTGAAGGGAAATCTTAACGCTACAGCATACAATGACATTCTAGACTGTTCTGTGCTTCCAACTTTGTGGCAACAGTTTGGGGGAGGCCCTTTCCTGTTTCAGTATGACAATTCCCCCATGCACAAAGCGAGGTCCATACTGAAATGGTTTGTCGAGATCGGTGTGGAAGAACTTGACTGGCCTGCACAGAGCCCTGACCACAACCCCATCGAACACCTTTGGGATGAATTAGAATGCCGACTGCGAGCCAGGCCTAAAGCCCAACATCAGTGCCCAACCTCACTAATGCTCTTGTGGCTGAATGGAAGCAAGTCCCTGCAACAATGTTCCAACATCTAGTGTAAAGCCTTCCCAGAAGAATGGAGGCTGTTATAGCAGCAAAAGGGGGACCAACTCCATATTAATGCGCATGATTTTGGAATGAGATGATCGACGAGCAGGTGTCCACATACTTTTGGCCTTGTATATCTTTCTATAGATTGCAGCCAGCCACATTTCCATCCACAGTTTTTATGTGAGTAAATTCATAGCATATAAAAAAATATACAGTGGGGAAAAAAAGTATTTAGTCAGCCACCAATTGTGCAAGTTCTCCCACTTAAAAAGATGAGAGGCCTGTAATTTTCATCATAGGTACATGTCAACTATGACAGACAAAATTAGAAAAAAAAATCCAGAAAATCACATTGTAGGATTTTTAATGAATTTATTTGCAAATTATGGTGGAAAATAAGTATTTGGTCAATAACAAAAGTTTCTCAATACTTTGTTATATACCCTTTGTTGGCAATGACACAGGTCAAACGTTTTCTGTAAGTCTTCACAAGGTTTTCACACACTGTTGCTGGTATTTTGGCCCATTCCTCCATGCAGATCTCCTCTAGAGTAGTGATGTTTTGGGGCTGTCGCTGGGCAACACGGACTTTCAACTCCCTCCAAAGATTTTCTATGGGGTTGAGATCTGGAGACTGGCTAGGCCACTCCAGGACCTTGAAATGCTTCTTACGAAGCCACTCCTTCGTTGCCCGGGCGGTGTGTTTGGGATCATTGTCATGCTGAAAGACCCAGCCACGTTTCATCTTCAATGCCCTTGCTGATGGAAGGAGGTTTTCACTCAAAATCTCACGATACATGGCCCCATTCTTTCCTTTACACGGATCAGTCGTCCTGGTCCCTTTGCAGAAAAACAGCCCCAAAGCATGATGTTTCCACCCCCATGCTTCACAGTAGGTATGGTGTTCTTTGGATGCAACTCAGCATTCTTTGTCCTCCAAACACGACGAGTTGAGTTTTTACCAAAAAGTTATATTTTGGTTTCATCTGACCATATGACATTCTCCCAATCCTCTTCTGGATCATCCAAATGCACTCTAGCAAACTTCAGACGGGCCTGGACATGTACTGGCTGAAGCAGGGGGACACGTCTGGCACTGCAGGATTCGAGTCCCTGGCGGCGTAGTGTGTTACTGATGGTAGGCTTTGTTACTTTGGTCCCAGCTCTCTGCAGGTCATTCACTAGGTCCCCCCGTGTGGTTCTGGGATTTTTGCTCACCGTTCTTGTGATCATTTTGACCCCACGGGGTGAGATCTTGCGTGGAGCCCCAGATCGAGGGAGATTATCAGTGGTCTTGTATGTCTTCCATTTCCTAATAATTGCTCCCACAGTTGATTTCTTCAAACCAAGCTGCTTACCTATTGCAGATTCAGTCTTCCCAGCCTGGTGCAGGTCTACAATTTTGTTTCTGGTGTCCTTTGACAGCTCTTTGGTCTTGGCCATAGTGGAGTTTGGAGTGTGACTGTTTGAGGTTGTGGACAGGTGTCTTTTATACTGATAACAAGTTCAAACAGGTGCCATTAATACAGGTAACGAGTGGAGGACAGAGGAGCCTCTTAAAGAAGAAGTTACAGGTCTGTGAGAGCCAGAAATCTTGCTTGTTTGTAGGTGACCAAATACTTATTTTCCACCATAATTTGCAAATAAATTCATAAAAAATCCTACAATGTGATTTTCTGGATTTCTTTTTCTCAATTTGTCTGTCATAGTTGACGTGTACCTATGATGAAAATTACAGGCCTCTCTCATCTTTTTAAGTGGGAGAACTTGTACAATTGGTGGCTGACTAAACACTTTTTTCCCCCACTGTATATTCACAACAGCACAATTTTATACATTTTACCAACGTATGTGTTGGTAAAATTAATTACACGAGGAATGGTGG